GAGTCATGCTTTCTTATCCAATCAGCTACTCTGTGTCTTTTTATGGGAGCGTTCAATCCATTTACAGTTAAGGTGATTATTGATATGTACTTATTTATTGCCATTTTTGTTTTGTGTGGTTCCATTTTTCTTCCCATTTCTACTACTAATTACAGCAGTCCTTTTAACATTTCTTGCAGTGCTGGTTTGGTGCTAATGTATTCCCTTAGCCTTTTTTTGTCCGGGAAGCGCTTTATTTGACCTTCTATTTTGAATGATAGCTTAGCTGGGTAGAGTAGTCTTGGATTCAGATTTTTGTTTTTCATAACTTTGATTATTTCATGTCATTCCCTTCTGGCCTGTAGTGTTTCTTGTGAGAAGTCAGCTGAGAGCCTTATGGGGTTTCCTTTGTAGGTAACCTGTTGCTTTTCTCTTGCTGCTTTTAGGATTCTCTCTTTGTCTTTAATTTGTGACATTTTAATTACTATGTGTCTTGGTGTGGGCCTGTTTGGGTTCTTCTTCCTTGGGACTCTCTGTGCTTCTTTAACTTGAATGCTTTCTTCCTTCACCAAATTAGGGAAGTTTTCTGTCAGTATTTTTTTTGAATATATTCTCTATCCCTTGCTCATTTTCTTCTTCTTCGGGGACTCCTATGATGCGAATATTATTCCATTTCCTGTTGTCCCGCAGTTCTCTTAAGCTGTCTTCCTGTTTTTTAATAGTTTTTTCCTTTTGTTTTTCTGATTGGTTGATTTTTTCTACCCTGCGTTCTAATTCACTGATCCGGTCCTCAGCTTCCTCTACTCTGCTTTTTAAACCTTCCAATGTGTTTTTCATTTCTGATATGTCATTTTTTATCTCTTCTTGATGGTTTTTAATTTCCAGTTGGCTTATTTTCAGTGTCTCTGTCCTTACTCATGCTGTTCAGCTTCCTCAAGATCATGGCTGTGAAATCTAGCTCTGTTAACATACCTAATTGCTCCACATTGATCTCATCTTCAATGGAGGTCTCTTGCTCTTTCATTTGGCTTCTGTTTCTGTGTTTCACCATTTTGGCTATCACTGTGGGCTTTGGAGCCTGTCAAGTTTTCCCTGTGGGTGTTGGTTTTCGCGGTTTGTGGCTCCCTCTCCTATATTTAGATGAGCGAGGGAGGACCCACGTTAAACACCACTGTCAAGTCTTACTTTCCTGGTTAAAGTTGCCAGCCCAGGAAAGGTACTGTTATCCTCTAGCTTTTTCCCTGAGGCTAGCAGTCCAGGTTACTTGTAGAGTTTTGCGTTGTCAGTTGATTGAAAAACTCCCTCAGGTGCTCAGCCAAGGGGCTTTCACGAGGGTGGGGCAGATGCTGGTTGTTAATGAACCTCAATTAGCACTTCAGTGGCCCACAGGGTGGGGTTGGATATCCGAGCCAGGGGCTGCTGCCTCTTCTCAGAGCCCTGGGAAGGAGCAATGTGGCCACCGTCTTGGGTGGCTGGCACTCCGCAAACGCTCTGGGTGCCCTACAAATCTCGAGTGTCCCCACACAGTTCCAGTCCAGCCTGCCCTCCCTCTGCCGGAGCTCAAGGTGAGTGGCTGTGGCTGTTTTAGCCTCTGTCCCGGCTCTGTGCTCTGGAGCCGCCAGGGAGTGTGACCCGAGGGCGCCGCTCCCAGCTGAGGCCGGTGCTGAGCTGCCGTGGGCTCCCAGCCCCTGTCTCGCGCCTTCGCAAGCCTACCGGGATGGAGTCAATGTCCCTCGTTATGTGGTCCTCCAAGCTGCTTTTCTGTTGCTTTTTCCCGTCAATTTGTCTGTGTTATAGTTGTAATTCCAGTTTGGTTCTGGGAGACGGTCTGTGTAGCTCAGTTCACTCCGCCGCCATTTTTGATCTATATCTATTTATTTATATTTTTAGAGCTACTGTATTGGTTTATTATTCTTCCATAACAAATTACCACAAATGAAGTGGCTTATAACAACCCACATTTATTCCTTTACAGTTCTGGAGGTCAGAAGTCTGCAGTGAGTCTTACAAGGCTAAAATCAAGGTGTTGGTGGGGTTCTGTTCCTTCTGAATGCTTCAAGAAGGATGTTTCCTTTTTGGCTCTTTGAGGCCTCCTGCATTCCTTGACTCAATCTGTTCCTCTGTCTTCCAAGTGCATCATTCCAACCTTTGCCTCCACCAGCCCATCTTTTTCTAACTTTTGACCTCCTCCCTCTTACAGGGACATTTATTTATTTATTTATTTGTACGTGTCCCTAGTTGGAACCGAACACTGGACTGTCTGGTTCGCAGGTCAATGTTCCAGCCGCTGAGCCAAACCGGCCAGGGCATCTTTATCTGGTTTTAGAATTAGAAGTATGCTGGCCTCATAAAAAGAGTTTGGAAGTCTTCCTCCTTCTTCATTGTTTTGGAATAGTTTGAGGAGAATGGGTGTTAGTTCTTTGAATGTTTGCTAAAACACCCTTTGAAGCCATCTGAGCCCAGGGTTTTGTTTGCTGGGAGTTTCTTGATTACATCTTCAATTTCTTTAGTTGTTATTAGTCTGTTCAAGTTTTCTGTCTCTTCCTGGTTTAGTTTTGGGAGACTGTGTGATTTTAAAAATTGTCCATTTCTCCTAGATTGTCCAATTTTTTGGCGTATAATTGTTCACAGTATTTTTTAACAATCCTTTGTATTTCTGTGATGTCAGTTGTTACTTCTCTTTTGCTTTTGATTTTGTTTATTTGGGTCCTCTTGTTTCTTGGTGATTCTGGTTAAGGGTTCATCAATCTTGTTTATGTTTTCAAAGAACCGGCTCTTTGTTTCATTGGTCTTTTGAATTCCTTTTTTGTTTTTGTCTCATTGTCACTTGTTTCTGCTCTGACCTTTACTCTTTCTTTCCTTCTACTTGCTCTGGGTTTTTCTTTTTGTTTACTTTCTAGTTCTTTAAGGTTTAGGATTAGAAAGTCAATTATAAGGTTTTCTTGTTTCTTGAGGTATGCCTATAGTACTATGTACTTCCCTCTCAGGACTGCTTTTGCTGTGTCCCATAGAGTTTGTGTTGTGTGTTCATTTTCATTGGTTTCCAGGAAATTTTTTGTTTCTTCCCTGATCTCCCTGGTAACCTTTCATTGTTTAATAACATGCTATTTAGCCTCCATTTGTTTGAGTATTTTTGAGTGTTTTTATTGTAATTGATATCTAGTTTCATGTCATTGTGATTAGAAGATGCTTGATATGAATTCAATCTTCTTGAACTTGTAAAGAGTTAGTTTGTGTCCTAACGTGGTCTATTTTTGAGAGTGTCCCGTGTGCACTTGAGAAGAATGTGAATTCTGCAGTTTTGGGGTGTAATTCTCTGTAGATATCTATTAAATCCATTTGATGTAGTGCCTTATTTAGAGTCCAGATATAAGATTTAAATAGGTGAAAGCCATGCTATTTCCTTTAAGAAGAAATATGTAGAAATAGGTAAGTGAAGGAGCACAAGGAGATAGTTGAAAGAGTCTCACTTTCTGCCAAGAGTGAGTTTGGGCAAGGGACTTGAAAAGATATGAGAGTTTTTCTTTTTAATTCTCACCGGAGGAAATTTTTTGATTGATTTTTTTTTCAGATAAAGTGTCAAGAAGGAAGGGAGGAAGGAAGGGAGAGACAAATTGATTGATTGCCTCTCACAGGGGCCCAATCAGGGCCAGGGATTAAACTGCAAGCAAGGTACGTGCCCTAGACCGGAATCAAACCCATGACTCTTTGGTCTGAGGGCTGATGCCCTAACCGCTGAGCCAAATCAGCCAGGGCAAGAGATGAGAGTTTATAGTAGTTAACTAAGGATAAATAAAAGAATTGAGCAGTTTTGAGAGCTTGAAAATGGATTTAATTGACCAATTCTTTAGTTCTGTAATTTTCTCCACTTGGTTTTCCCCATGTAAAGAAATTGAATTGAATTTAAGATTGGAGGTTTGCAGGAGCGGTTGGGTGAAGGGTAAAGGCAAGATGGGAGTTGTGGGTACTAGTGAGAAGGCAATGAAGTGATTGGTATTCTGTAGGGAAGGAAGAAACTGATAAACTCAGTAAAGTGGAGGAATGCGGCATTGACTGGGTTCTTTGATAAGGTCAAAGAATAGATGAAGGATAGGGGATTATGGCCAGAGATCAGTGTTTCAGAGATGGATCAAGTATGAGTGATGACAAGGCCTAGGTTATGGCAACTGGAGTGGATTACTGAAGTGGGGGGGAATGCAGTTGTATTTATTTAAGGGAAAAATAATTGAAATGTCTATATTATACAGATTGTGTTTTGAAATTGCCTGGGATAATTTTAAGATTTGTGTTGGTGTGGTAGAAAGGTCTCAGCGTTTAAGTCCTTATTGATCATGGAGAGGGAAGATGAAGTAGATTCTAAGGAATATTAGAGTCTAGCACAGGGGATAGCATACCTCTCAAAGAGAAGGGGATTTTATGCAAAGGCGGATGAGTTATATCCTGGAAGCAGCAATAGAGGAGCTAGGAGAATGCTCTCCCTGTTGTATGTATTGAGTGTTGGAGAAAGGGGCACATTTATTTGATTGAATATTATAGAGCAAGTAGTGTTCTAGCAAGAGAAATCAAACTTTATACTGTTAGTGGACAGGAGGTGCAAGGCTAGAATTTTTAATTATTTTATTTTATTTTATTTTTGTAATTAAAGCATAAGGGATTTAGGGAGGCCAGTGGAATTGATTGGGAAGGAAGGAAGAGGGAGGATGATAAACTGAGGATATGAAAACCAAACAGTAATGGTAAAGAGCATATTATAAATATTAGAAAAAAAATTGCTAAATGTGATACATTTAGAAATGATAAAAAAATATAGCCTGACAATTTTAAACAAGTAAAAATGAAAAATGGTTATATCTGACTTGCATGTAATACTGTGTCCACTGGATGTCACTGTAGGTTCATATTTAGTAATACAAATAAATACCTATGGGAGCTTTTTATTTGTGGAGTCAATATAGGTCTTCTTCCTGCCTTTTCTTTCTTTTGCGGTAAATTTTGTTAATATTTTTTAAATTTATTTTTAGGTACAGTTATTTATCACCACTGCAAATAAAACAAATACCTGTCCCTAAATTGGCTGCTCCAAACTGTCTTGTTATTATTTGGGTGACTAATAGACAGAAGCACCTACGTTTTGTAAAAGAAGAACTTTATCCTTTGTGGTCTGTGGAGATAGTTGCTGAATGGCACTGGTTAAAAGTAAGTTCAGAAGTTAACTTGTTTGTTAATATAGCGTAACATATTAGTCACATTAAAGTAGCATCTACTTTTTAATACTTAACATGTCACTGCTCTACTCCTTCAACATGGTCTAATTAAAACTTTTACTTTGCTGCTAAATATTTTTATCTTTTTATTCGTAAGGCTTTGTATGTTCTCTGTCTTTTTTGTAACAGAATCCCAAACTGCTGGCCTTAATAAGTCACTCAGAGAGATATTAGGATGACATTTTAAAAAGCTCTGATGTTAGTAGTTTATAAAACAACAAACAAAAACTTTGGGGAATCTGTCCATCACTAAATATAGAAATAGTCTTACCCTTCATCTTTTTCCTCTTTATATATCCACAATTTCATTCACCCTTTATGATTTTCCTTTTTTCTTTCTTACATTGCGGGGTATAGGAGGGAGAATAGCAAAGTAACCCAGTGTGAAAGAGCTGGGAAGGTGCTAGAACCAAGAACTTTTCATACTTTAAATCTTAGCCTAGGCCCTTCAGTGCCTTATATGCTGCTGTGCCTAGTTTTGAAAGAAATGATTGCAATTTTCAAATTAGTTGGATGATCTTTATGTAGTATCTGTGCTTGTTATAAGAATACCAAAATACACAGAAAAATTAAAGTGTTAGTTCAGAGTTCACTGGACATTTTTCTAAAGATACATTGTCTTTTTAGATAAATTCCACAAAAATGCTCCTAAATTTTAAAAAGGTAAGCCAAATTATTATCAATTGAATGTTTAATATTTATGTAGGGGGTACATTTATGTTAGACACAGGAGAGTTCTATTTTTATGTGCTTTGTACTTTGTAGTCTACTGGAATATCTTATAAAAGCCATGCACATTGTTTATTTGCACCTATGGGACTTGGAAAACGAACATTTACAGTTGTATCTTTGCTTTCATGATGTAGTTTGGGCTTAGCTTTGGTTGGTTTGGTATACTAGGACCATGACATTAATATAAAACCTTATCCACCCTGCCCATTATGGCAGTTCTTTTAATAGTCAGAGACTGGGGCCAAAGTCAGGAAAAGATTACCTTCTGAAATCATGACCAGTAAAGTGTTAATACATAAAAACTAAGACTATTTATTTGTAGTAGTGATCAGTTGTGAGAGACGGTATGGTAAGACCAGAATTTAAGATGAAAATACAAGGTATTATATGAAACACTATTAGGTAATTACACATATTGTTATAACAGGAGGAGTAATTTGCATTGAGTATAAAGAATATCCAAAGAATGAGAATTTTCACTGCTTTTTTTGCACTGTGTGAGAGAGGTGCTGTCTCTCATGGGCCCTAGAGGTGATAAAAAGATTTTACTGATTTTGTTTTTAGGTAAAAGATATGAATATTCTGATAATGAAATGGTTCATTAATGTTTGATAATGTTATTATGAATTCTATTTTCAATTTGATTAGTTTGAGTCTTTGAGAGTCTGATCACTCCAGGGTGAAATGATAAAATTGATTTCTGGATTTATAATGCCAGAGGATCGGACTATTGTCTATCTCATTAATCCCTGAGCTTCTTTCATTATTAATTTTAGTTCTGACAGTATTTAATGACACTGTTTCCTATAAATGAAGGAAACTATTATAATCTACTTAGTCACAATGCCAGTAATCATTAAATATTATTTGAATGAATGAATAAATGAGTTAATGATGGCATGGTTTCTAGGAATAAATGTTAATGAAAGCAGAGATTTTTGTGTACAAAATGATAAAGTGATATTTAAAATATTTTTTAGTCACTTACAGCTTCTCTGTTCAATATGATAGTTACTCAGTGGCTAGTCCAAACTGAGATATGGTATTAAGTGTAAAATATTGGATTTCAGAGGCTTAGTATGAAAAAGAGAATATGACATATCTTAATACATTTTTTTTGAATTGATTACATATATAATGGTAATATTTTTGATATGTTAGATTAAATTTAAGATATATTTAAAGTCAATTTTACTGTTATTTAGACTTTTTTTTAATGTTGCTACTAGAAAATTTAAAATACATATGTGGCTTGCATTTGTGGCTCATATTGTATTTTTATTACACAGCACTAGCCGGGAGGTTTAATAATTTCTTTTTCTTTGCTGGAAACTGTAAGAAAGAAAACCCACAAACCTTTCTGGGATATTTACAGATGTATGTTTTTTTTAACTCCTTCCTATCAGATCACCAATTCAGGAGAGTTTGTGTTCCCATTAGATTCTCCACACAAAAAGCCTTATGAAGGTCTTATACTAGGAAGATTTCAAGGAAAAACAGCTTTACCATTAAGGTAGGAAAGGTGATTTTTCAAAATTATATAATGTATTAATTTTTAGGTTTTTAAAATTATTAACAAAGTGATCTATTTTCCTTTATTTTTACATTTTTGAAAATCTGAAAATGTCTCACACCAGAAAAAATGTGAACGATTTGGCACATGAAATTTTATAATATTTTTTGTTTTATTTAATGTGTAATTGTCATTATTGTTGAAAAGCAAATTATTAGAAATGTCTTGATACTTAAATTGTTGATTTCCATTATTGTTTCTATTACATTAATTTAAATTCAGATATTATTTGAAAGGTGAAAAAAAGTTAAGGCAACTGTGGCTTATATATAAAAAAATGTTCTGTAAAATATAATTTATTTTGTTGTTCTGTTTTAATTAGGAATATGCTCCCCATTCCAGATCACAAGTTAATTGTCAGTGTACCCTGTACTCTTCACTCCCATAAACCACCTCTTGCTGGTATGTTTTTATAAATAGAAATGTTATGACTTCTGTCAAATTGAAAAAAAGGATTGAATTTAGTATTTGAACGGTCTAGAGATTTGTAAATTAAATCAGATATGTAGTTTTAATTAATATTCTAAAATTTTATAGCAGAATATATAAATAGGTTTTTTTTTTTTTTTTTCGTGTTGAAAGATTTATTGTTTTAATTTGGTCCATGGCTTGGGAGAAGGCTCTATCTAGGTGGTTAAAAAGCTGCCTAGTGGCTGTAGGGGAGGCTCAGGCAGAAGCCCCGACACCAGGGTGAGGCAGAGGGGCACCTTAAAAGCCACCAGGCTCAGGAGGTTCCTTGTCCTGCTTGAGGGTGAACCTTTTGAGGAGATAACTTGCCCAGCCCAGCTTGGGTGCCAGCCAGCCTGTAGAGGTTAGTTTGGTCCTATTTTATTTTACTTCATCTAGGAAGTAGCTCTCCAGGAAGGCACAGAGAAGTGGGTCTGTGCCAGTAGAACCCAGAGCATGCAGATTCCAAAAGGGCCTAGGTCAGGTTCTTCTCCTGGAAGAGGGCTCTGCCACCCCAAAGTGGCCCCATGCCCTCCAGAACCAGATTATTACGGTGGAAATAGAAGTTCAGAGAGATAGGTTAGGAGGCCCACAGATGCAGGTTACTAAGCAGCTGATGGAGGCCTCTACCTTAGTGGAGTAATTTTGACAAATCTGAGAACTTATGTTTGGTTGGCAATAGGAGCTAACCATAAAAAAATGTTTGCTGGTCCTGGAGGTTGCTACTGGAAAGGAGGTTGGAGAGTGGTCAGGGGGCTGGAAGAAGGGGAGTTCCCATGTCTGTTCTGTACAAACACTGTTGAAGCAAGAGATGGATCTGTGGACCACTGAATGAGCTCCATAGATGAGTTTTTTATTACCTCAGCCTTTACTGTTTTTTAGGTTCCCCTTGCTATTGGTTGCTACCCATCACTGGCCTGGACAGAATGAAGTGCTGATGGGGCCTCTGAGGACTGCAGTTCAGCTAGGGGCTTTGTTTTACTACTAGGGCTCGTTTGTTTGCTTGTTCTAAAATCAGGAGCTCAGAATAGCAGTCAGAGATAGTTAGAATTCCCTTGATATTAGGTAGAGACTCTCAGGGTTTTATGTTGGGTAGTGTTGCTTTTCTGAACCATTGGAAAGATAATTGCTGCATTCTGCAATTCTTACTAGTCTTAATGCTTTAGTATAGTGTTCATCATTCAGTGAAACTAAGCAGCAGGAATAGTGGAAAGTTTTGGCTTTGGAGATTGACTAACATGAGTTTGAATCCGGGCTGTGCTACATGAGTGAGTTACTCTAATCATTTTCCACCTCAAAAACGTCATTTAAAGAGGGAATAATGATATTTAATCTTTCAGATTTGTGAGAATTGGTTATAATATATTTGAAATTCTATAGCATATAGTAGAAGCTCCGTGAATGCTAAATCTTTCAACTGAGAGTTTAAAAAAATAGGATGTAATTCCTTGAGAGAGATGCAATTTGATATTCAAAGTTTACTATTCAAATAATTTACTCAGGAATATATATTTTATTAATTTGGTGATCCTTGCTTTAAAACCCCCCAACTTTTCAGGCTGTCACTCAGGAAAACTACAGGCTGCCATCTTATCATATTATGTTGTAGAAAATGGTATAATTTATAAGCTAGGATATGTAGGAAAGTGAATACAAATTCCCCAAAGAATTTTTATTGATAGCGCATAGGCTTTCTGTTATCTTAAATTGTTTATGCAGCTCAGCTGGTGTGGCTCAGTGGTTGAATGTCAGCCCATGCACCAAGAGGTCGCCGGTTTGATTCCTGGTCAGGGCATACAAGGTTGTGAGCTCAATCCCCAGTGGGAGGGCATACAGGGAGGCAGCCAATCAGTGTTTCTCTCTCTCCCCCTCCCGTCCTCTCTCTCTAAAATCAATAAAGAAAAAAAATTTTAAAAATTGTTTATGTAGAAGAAATACAGTGTTATTTCATTTGAGGAATATTCAGATGTCTACCTGATGATTAATTCTTCTTCTTTTTTTTTTTTAATCCTCACCTGAGGACATTTTTCAGTGATTTTCAGATGAAATATAGTGTTATTTCATGTGAGGAATATTCAGATGTCTACCTGATGATTAATTCTTCTTTTTTTTTTTAAATCCTCACCTGAGGACATTTTTCAGTGATTTTCAGATGGAGTTGGGAGGGAGGGAAAGAGGGTGAGGGAGAGGGAGAGAGAGAGAGAGAGAGAAACATCAATGTGAGAGAGACAATGATTGGTTGCCTCCCTCACAGCCCCAACCAAAGCTGGGGATCAAACTGCAAGTGAGGTACATGCCCTTGACTAGAATTGAACCTGCTACTCTTTGGTCTACAAGCTGATGCTCTAACTGCTGAGCCAAATCGGCCTGGGCTGATGATTCATTCTTTGACTTAGAAGGATTTTTAGTGAGTGAGTACCTTTAAACTTTGGACTGTCATAGATTCTGTAATGCATTAAATATGTGACTTAAATGAAAAGTGAGATTGTATTGTTCTTTGAGAAAAAAATTGTTTGGCACCAGTTATACTTGAAGAAATCTAATTTGCATTCTTATCATTTATATTTTCTTTATCAATCAGTGAGTACCAAAGCTTAATTAATGTTTGCCTTAGGGCTTTTTTTTTTTTTTTTTACTTTTAAAAATCTGAAAGCTAAGACCCATAATCTTTCATTATTAAATGATAATTAAACTATTTATCAATTACTTTTAAATAGGATAAAATTTTGTTCAAAGATTAGTTTTAAGAGATAAAGTCTTAAAATAGTGAAAACAGTGTCTTTTATTGCTACTAATAGAAATGAGTGTTACAGCCTGTCTATGAAATGCAGTTCTGCCATATTCCCAGTAGAGAGCAGCATAAACACATTTTCAGGATTAAGAACCATTTGAAAACAAAAGTTAGACTTTTTTGGGAAAAAAGTTCTCATTACTTTATATATATGATCTTTATACTTTGGGTGAGTAATGTAATCCTTTATTTTTGAGTTCATGTTATTATTTAGCTTGTGCATGTATTTTAGGTGTAGACTCAAGCTACCAGAAAGCAACTTCCAACTTTCTGCAGTATATTTTACTCTGAGATCATAACTCTAGGATTTGGCATGATACATGTTGTATATATAATGTTTAGAGCTTTTACATGTAAATGTTCTTTTTTATTTGAAAATTTTTTTTTCTTTATTAAGTTTTAGAGAGCGAGGAAGGGAGAGAGAGAAGGAAACATCGATGAAAGGGAACATCGATTGGCTGCCTCCTGCATGCCCCCCACTGGGGATTGGGCCGACAGCCTGGGCATGTGCCCTGACTGGAATCAAACTGGCCACCTCTTAGTGCATGGATCGATGCTCAACCACTGAGCCACACCAGCTGGGCCATGTAAATGTTCTTAAACTCTAAATTCATAAAACGAAAATGTTCTCTTTTGCTTCTAGAAACATCAAGATTTAAAAAAAGTTATAATTTGTTATTTTTGCTGCAAAAGATAAAAAAGACTGAATTGGCAGCATATTTATTTCAAATGATACATTTATTCTATTTTTAATTTTGAAGTTTCCTCCTTAGATTGAAAGATAAGCCATCAGTAGATATGATGACCTACAACCTAACATTATAAATGTATATTCTTAAGTTTAAAGATTTAATAGGAAGATTATAAAATAAAAGTATTTGAGTTAAACTTTATTTTCTATAGTTTACCTTTAATTTTCACTCCTTTTTACTACTTTACTCAGTAACAGTTTCTATCTGAAGAGTAAAACATAGTTTGATGAAATTCTATGTACTGTTTGAGCAACTTCTCTCCAGCTCTGCTTCTTGCTCCCAGAACAAAACGGGAATGATTGACTGGATTACTTCCTCACTGTTGGTTAGAAGTATGTTCACTAGTGCCAGATACTATATAATTATCTAAGTATGTATATGTTATGCTCACATTTAAATTTATATATTTGTATTTACTTTTCAATTGAGATATAATTGACATATTAGTTTCAGGTGTACAACATAATGACATAATGACTCAATATAAGAATATACAGATCGTCCCTAACTTATAATTGTTCTACTTTAAAGTTTTTTGACTTTACAATGGTGCCAAAGCGATATGCATTCAGTAGAAACCATACTTTGAATTTTGATCTTTTCCTGGGCTACTGATGTGCAGTACCATACTTTTCTCATAATGCTGGGCAGCAGCAGTGAACCACCGCTGCCAGGCAGCCACCCAATCACGAGCATAAACAATCACTTTAAACCTACCATACAGTAATTGTGTTAGATGATTTTACCAAACTGTAGACTAATGTTAAGTGTTCTGAGCACATTTAAGGTAGGCTAGGCTCCGCCTGTGATGTTTGGTAGATGTATTAAATGCATTTTTTTACCTATGCTATTTTCAACTTATGATGGGTTATCAGGACATAACCATCGTAAGTTGAGCATCTGTGTTACAAAATGGTTATCAACAATAAGTCTAGTTAATATCCATTAATACACAGTTATACATTTTTCCCTTGCGATGAAACTTTTAAGATATTGCATTCCTTTTAAAATGATATTTAAAATTAGTAAGAATTTTATTTTTTTATTAATTCGTCTTGTTTTGAAATTAAACAAAAATTTAACATGATAAGACATTACTCCTTGATTTTCTATTTTTTGTCAACTAGAAAGAAAAAAGAATACTGTGTTAAGAAAATAGGAGGTGGTAAATGGGTTTAGGTTGTATGTATTTTTCCACTCTAAGTATCTGGTCATCTTTTTCTTAGATTGTGAACTCTTATAAAACATGGATGTCTGTTTTTCTTGATAATTCCATAGCACTGATTATAGTGGGTGCTCAGTATAGTAAATATTTTTAACTGTCTAACTTCATTTTAGACTCTAATTTAATGTTCCAAAATAGAGTTGCTAACATCTTTGTACTGAAAAACTGAATAAATAAGCAAAAACAAAGAGAACCTTTGTTCATGATA